ACCTTTTTACCTTTTTGAACAGGTTTTACTGTAATAAATAAATAAATAAAGTTAGTTTTCGAATTTCTTTTGTTCGATGTTTCCTCTAGTGTTTTGATTGTTATAAAACAATATAAGAAATTTGAATTTCTCACGCGATATGTCCAAGTTTCTATAATCTATAATCGTTTTCTTTCTTTCGCAATTTCAAAAAGAAACGAAGAAAAACAGGAAAATAAATCTTGAATTGAACTTTATAATGTATGTGAAGAAATTAAATAAAAGGCAGCGAATTTTATTATGGTTTAGTTATTATAGTCAGGTTTTATTATGGTCTTTTCTGGTATCTTTTCTGGTAATAAGATCATCAGTGACCGAAAGGATAAAAACACTAATAGTTTCGAGCCCTGATCAGCGTGCTGAACACGTGTTTTCAAGGTTTTCTTCACGTGCAATTTCCCATAAAAACTCTTCTCGGAAACACATACTCCCTTGGCAGATGGCCCTCGTATTACGTTGTGTGATGCCATCAATCTAATCATAATGAATTAAGAAAATAAGAGCTTAATTTAATTTCGCTCTGATGATTGATTGATTTTATTTTCAAAATAACAAAATATTTAATTTTATTATTATTTCAATATATAACAATATCATAATACTTGTTGTTTTCTTATTTTTAGAAAATATTCACGTGTTCAAACAAGAGTTTTCAGCAGTGATGGAGTGGATAAAACCATTAAACATGCGCTTGACCAACGTGAAGTTTTTTCTCACGTGTCTAACATATAAATAGGGGCCAATTTCTCATTGTCCTCTTGGCAGATCGCCCACGTGTTGCGCTGCCTTATCTCATCAATCAATCAAACAATAAAAAAAAAAAAATAATAATAATAACTGAAAGTCTGATCGTCTTTGTTAAAAATTCTTAAAACTCGTTTTAAAGGAAAAAAATTGAAATTAAAATATAGACAATCGTTTATTTCGAAATTTATCAGCAAAAAGAAAATTGTGAAAACATTATTTTTCGTAAAAACGATAATATATATAATACGATACACGTTTTACCATTCAAAATATTAATAAAAGTTATATGATTTAGTTAAATTTATGATTGTATTTTTCATTTTAAAGGGTCAAACTTTTGGCACACAGAAACACTTACACCTGGCGCAAGTGGTATAGATTCTGGCAGAAGCGTCATACAACTTGTCAAAGCAGTTCTGAAAATTATTTGTTTTATGATGTCTTTAAGGGTTTTCGTCACAAACCTTCACCTTTTCTCTTTCATTTTAGGAGAAGACAAAAGTCTGCTGAGGAGGTAAGAAGATGGGAAAAGAGATTGAAGAAGCATTGTTATGTCTTTAGTCAGATATTCATTAGTCGAGATAGAAATCAAACGTTAAAAAAAGCATTTTAGAGAAACGCCATTTTTTATTGTAAAACAATTTTTGCACTCCATTAAAAGAATTCTATTCCTATATTTTGTTTTATTGAAAAGGGATGTACAGTACTTTGTCAAGTACGAAAGGAATGGAGGAAAAGATGAATTCTATTGATGAAATAAGACAACACAACATACGGGAAATCTGTCAAGGGAGGACTTTCTATGGGAAAGTGGTCCCTGTATACATAGGTGTTAGACACGTAAAAAAAAATTCCACGTGTCCAGCCCGTTGATCACTCGCAAACTGGGATCAATTACCAGTGTTTAGTTGTTTTATCCATTCTGGTACTGGTAGGCAAGGTTGGCTGGTATAATTTATAATAGAAAAAAAACAGAGTCGATTAATAAAATTATTTTTGATCTCTTATAATTTAAACACATGTTAGATGAAGATTTTTCGCATTTTTATATGAAATAACGATATTAGGTTATACAAATTAGAATGACTTATATAAAACTGAAAGATTTGATATAATCCGTGAAAGCTGTACTTTTAGTGAGTTAGTTAATATAAATCTATATATTGTCTGTTTTATATTTGTACTGTTTTATTTATTATAGAACTACAGTCGACCCCCACCCCATAACACTGTTGATAATTCCCGTTTTATATGAATTCCATGTTGTACGAGTCACTTAGATTTTACAAATACGTGAGCCGTTTACATCCCGGCACACGTATTTGTAAAATCTAAGTGACTCGTACAACAAGGAATTCATATAAAACAGTGTTATAGGGGGTTGGGTCGACTGTATATATGCAAGCTCAATCCCTATTTTATCGAATTACATGCATTTAAAGATGTACTGTACACACTACCTTCGGATAGTAAAACTTTCAAAGTTTCATAGTAGATAAGTAGCTTACTAAATATTATAATAATGAGGAAGTAATGAGATGAATCATGATTTTAAATTATTTAATGAGTTATCTGACGATTCATTGCACAAGTTGTACGAGTTATTCACAGGAAGAATGAATATAGTTATCAGTTGCTTAAAGCGCAGTATTTTTTTAAATATTTCTTCATATTTATTTATAAGAAAATTATTAATCTCTTTCGAAATTAAACCGGTTTAAATTATCATACGTAATTACTAGAAATATTAATTTTGAATTCAGTAAAAATAATTATTAAATAAAATTCCTGTAATTAAGTATTATACGCTGATCTTAATGATGTGAAGGTAGCACGTATCAATGACGAAATCCTATTTATTACACTAGTTACTTCAAATTCAAAGGTCAAAAAATCAGCACGACTTGCGTTGAAGAAGTTTAAAGTTGAGCAATATTACTTTTGTGTAATAGAAGTTATTGCATTACACTTTCCTGAAAGTAAAAAAAAATAATCAAGCTGAGAGCCTGAAGCGATGTAAATCATTCGATTGGCATCGCTCTGAGGTTCTCCTTCCTACGTTACGTATATATAGCCTATATACTGTATATGAATAAGCTTACCGATATATTTTTAAGGTTATTTTACGAACGATTGAAATAAAACAGCTGCTTGTTGTTAGTCGTTATTTATTCGCTTTGTTGGAAAGGACTGGAATACATATGTGAGCAGTTTCAAGTTATTCGACTCTTATGAGCTCTTATAAAACTTTATTTGTAAATTAAATATAACAAAATAAAGAAATGTAACTTAAATATTATAGGATTTATTATTAATATACTTTCATTTTTAATGTAATTTAAAATAATTCTTCTAATAGGAAGGAAGATTGAAAAGTCTAATAAAATCACAATACTTTCGCTCAGAAATCTAGACTTTTCAGTCTTCCTTCCTCTTACAAGTTAGAAGAATTGTCTTAAATTACATTTATTAATAATCTACTTCCATTTTTAATCTTATAATATTTAAGTTACATTTCTTTATTTGTAAATTAAACATAACAAATAAAGTTTTAGCTAATAAGAGTCGAATAAGTTGAATCTTCTCACACATATTTACCACTTTATATGTTTTTTTCACTTTTAAATATAGGAATGCCATAAAAAGTATAGCTTATGATGATAAAATTTGCTTTATAATCAATATGGCAGTGTCTTTTCTTAAAAATTTAAAGTATTTTCCAAATCGATTAGACCAAAATAAAGATTTAGAAGAATTAAAAAGAAGAGACTGTGGTAGCTTTTCAATATTCCTTAAGTAATAATAAACCTCTGAGTCTATCATTATTCTTTATTATGTAATTAATATGGAATATTATACCTTCCATATCTTAATTAATTAACAGGTCGTGCAGATGTTGCTGATCTTATAACGGATCGTCTCTGTTAAAAAATCATTAGGTCTATTTAAACATTGTTTTACTTTTTATTTATTTACTTTAGTGTCTCATACAAAATTCATTTTAAAAATATTATTATTTTTTAAATATTTAACTGTTTTTCTCTCTTAATATGTTGAAAATCTGGTGTGTCAAGATTTTAAAAATTTAATTAAAGAAGCCAATTCTTATCATTAACAAGCAATTACTAAATTAACCAGTAATTGTCAATGACCCGCTAATGGTTCTTTGCTAAATCGGCTTTTTATTTCGTCTTTTCGTTATACGCTAACGTTGACTTTTTAGTAATTACACTAAACAAATTAGACCAGAAGTCAGTTAACTAAATAACTAAATTGCTGTCTTATTAAAACATTTTATTACTTATAAACTTTTACAATAATCGCTCAAAAATAAGATACACTTCGTTTAATACACAAATTACAATGCTTTAACGTATTTGTGAAAAAAAATCCTTTATTTTGTATTATGACGAAATGTTTTAAATTCATGCCTAAAGTATAAAGTACACAGAAGCTCCAATATCTACATTTGTAATTGGTATAATTTTCAAAAATAAATCATTAAAAAATTCTCAGAATCGTAATATTTTATTAAAATATAATAATATATTTTAAACTTTAACTTTTAAAGGTAATTTCTTTATTAAAAAATAAAGGAATTTATCTCAGTAAGCATAATATTAAGGTAATTACTCGTATACTACAGTATAAAAAGAATTTTAAAATATTATATATTGTATATAAGTGTCTGACTTCGACTTGTCTCTTCCAGTGTGGGACGTCATTTATGGATAACCCCTTACTGATTCCGGAACTTACGTAGTTTAAAACGAGAATTGTATACTTCTCTTTCGGCAAATATTATTCCAAAATTCGTTCGAACCTATAATTCCCACTGTCGTCCGTCTGTCCTTTCTTAATCTCGAGAAGGAGTTAGATAGATAAAAGACGATACCAGATATGGAAACTTTAGGAGCAGGAGGACCCGATTAACTACATACAAACTTCCGATACACACTAAAAGTTACGTTATTTTAATTCAAAACTTTCCCCTGGAAGTAATTAACAGATGACCAGCACGGCTCCGTTGTTAAAAGGAAAAGTATGATTTACAGGGGCAAGACACTATAGTACTAATTTATTATTATTAAATAATTTATAGAAGTATCTAATGCTTAATAAAACAGAAAAATTATTGCAAATTGAAGTTTTAATTGCATATGCATATTTGGAAATTCTATATTTATATATTTAATTTTATTTTTAATTTATAGAAACTTTTAATTCCATCCCGAAGACATGATAGTTCCAATGCTAAAAGTCGGAAAGATCGGGAAGTCTTGGAAAGAGATCGCAATAGATTATTGGATTTACGGTGGAAGGAGAAGATCAACCATGTTAATATCAATTGCCACGAAGATGATACAGGATATACACCTTTAATATTAGCTGTTCTTAATGGTAAGAATAGAGTTTTGTACTTAAAAATGAAAATACTTTTTATTAAGAAATTGGGCTAAAATTACTTGATTTTTTTTGATTTTATAAAATAATTGAGAAATGTAAATTTAAAATTAAATATTTTCTTGACGTTATATTTGATATACTATAGTTTTACATATTTTTATAATAAATTCACTATATTTTTTTTGAAAATATTCCCATAAAACTGTTCTCTTTCCTACAGTTAATTCTGTTGTGAAGTAATTGGTTAGGTTTTATATATATATTCTTAGTATATCTTATCAATATCAATATTATATTATGTGGGTTATACTCGGTTGACACTGGCTGCTGTGTACTATGCCAGACCAGAGTCAAAGCACAGCTATCAAAACAAGACAAAAATTAAATAAGTGTGTCAGTGTGTGTGTCTGTATTCAGGAATTTTCTAAAAATATGATGGATTCAATATAGTGACCTTCTGTAGTGTGATGTATGTGTTTGTATTTAACTGTAATGTTCCCAGGCTTTTGTGTAGTGTGTGTGGTATCACACCTGTAAAGGAGAGAACGACAGGTACAATAAACACCCTATCCATCCTCCATAGATGCCTTATTTCCTGGGCGAGTTCTGTGTACTTGCTAATTTTTTCAGTGAATGTGTTTTGTATATTGTGTGTGTTTGGAATGGATGTCTATAATGTATGTGATTTTATTGTGTTTGTGAATATGTGTGATGTCTGGTCTGTTGTGATAGATTGTTTTATCTGTGATTATGGCTCTGTCGTAGTACATTTTGTGCATGTTGTTTTCCAATACTGTCTGGGGAATGTATTTGTATTATGGTTCGTGGATGTCTGATAATTTGTGTTTGTTTGCAAGCTCTTGGTGTATTATATTTGCTACTTGATTATGTCTATGTAAATAATCTGTCTGTGCCAAAAGTTTTCAACCAGAAGTGATGTGTTTTATAGTTTTTGGCATGATGTAACATTTTCTGCATGTGTCATTTGTGAGTGTTGTATCTTTAAGTATGCATGTTTCTGTAATGTTTAGTATTTATAACCTGATCCTGTATGGCAATCATGAACCCTTCCATCTCCCCAAGGAGGCGTCCCCGAGCTGACCAACTGTTTGAAAAGAGTTTTGTCAACAAAATCCTGGGCTAGATTGTAGGGATGCCTGCCATGGAGTGCCTTTTGAACCCACGATTGTTTAATGGTGTCTATGCTTTTTATATGTTGTGTTGTGTCCATTGATGCGAGTATAAGTTTAATAATGTGTTATTTGAGCCTGCTAGAGTTACTGCTTTATGTAATTGTGATGTTTTTTGTAGAAAAACTCTTGCAGTGTCTGTATTTGTTTGTAGTGAAGGTTTACTATGTCAATCAGGCCACATCTGCCATCTTTACATGGAAGGGTTAATCTTTCTATGGCAGATTTACGATGATGATGATCTTGTTTTCCTTTGGAGTTGCTCAAGATCTATGTGAGTCTAATGNCTCTTGCAGTGTCTGTATTTGTTTGTAGTGAAGGTTTACTATGTCAATCAGGCCACATCTGCCATCTTTACATGGAAGGGTTAATCTTTCTATGGCAGATTTACGATGATGATGATCTTGTTTTCCTTTGGAGTTGCTCAAGATCTATGTGAGTCTAATGAATTAGAATGATCTTAACTTTATTGAAGAAAAATTAGTTACTCTTAATTTTATTTTGTTATTTTTGTCTTTTTGTCAGAAATAGAGACCAATAGAACAGTTTGGCCCTTTTTCCAGACCTAGAGAAGGCCAAATTTTGTAGGCTTTTTCACATAGAGCAAATGAAAATGATTGAAACAAGTTTCTTTCGAGACTGGTCCAAATCCTGATTATATTCATAGTATAATGAGATGAAGTTTGCTTCTGTAAATTGTATTTTAATTTTATGGATAAAACTTTTTCTGCAGTTTCCCCAAATTAATATTAGTTAAATAATTTAAGATGCTATCATCTGTTGAAGTATCCTTGTAAAATGATTTTAATTTAAATATAACTGTTATCATTTAAATTTTTTCTTTATATTTCAGTTTATTTGCATATCTCAATGTTATTTCCCTTTTGTAATCATTTTTACCTTATCCATTTTCAAATATATTTAATTTATTTACATCTTATAATTTAAGAATCAATAACTTAAATTTAAAATATTATGCAATTTAATTTATTTTAAGATAAAAATTCTTTAAATATCAAAAATGCTGAATAATATTTTGTTTGTAAAAAATTTTTTTATTTTAATTAATATTCCAATCAACAACATTATGAAAAATATATTAAAATAGTTACTTAATTTAATACAAATTTATTTTTAAAATAAAATTTGTAGAAAAATACATTGTTGTAATTTCGAAAAATACAAAAAATTCTTTTGTGAAATATGAAAATTGTTTCTAATTTATTTTGTACATAAAATATTGTTATTTTGAAATTAAATTTTAAGCTAAAAAATATATATATAATAATAATAAAATTAGGTAGAAGGGAACAATACAATAAGTTGCATAATTTCATCTATTTATTGTTCATATAGCAAAGTTTTTGCATTTCTGTTGTGAAAGTGTTCATCTTGTTAACCTTGAAAGTCATTGTAAATGTTGAAAGTTTCTTTTGAAATAGCACAAAATAACTTTTCTACAAATAAACTAAACTGAATTATAAATTTCTACATTGATAAATTCAATACGTTTACATAAATTTCTATTATTAAATTATAAGTTTCTACAAATAAAACAAATTTTAAAAATAATACCAAATATTTTTTGATATTATTTTTTAAAACATTTCTAAAATTTTTATATTTTTATTTTATACATATGTTACTGTGAATGACCGATATGTGGTGAATGACAACATTCTCCGGTGAATGTCAGCATTCACACAGTTGTTTCATGTATGTNTTTGGTATTCTTTAATTAATCTTTGCTTTATTTGTGTATGTTCTGTTAGTTTGGCCTGTTGGAATCCTAAATACGTATAGAACTTCTGATATTGAATTTTAAGTTATTGTTAATTTATGTCTTATCAATATCATTATATAAATAATTAATGAATTAGAATGATCTTAACTTTATTGAAGAAAAATTAGTTACTCTTAATTTTATTTTGTGGTATTTGTCTTTTTGTCAGAAATAGAAACCAATAGAACAGTTTGAGACCTAGAGAAGGCCAAATTTTGTAGGCTTTTTCACATAGAGCAAATAAAATGATTGAAACAAGTTTCTTTCGAGACTGGTTCAAATCCTGATTATATTCATAGTATAATGAGATGAAGTTTGCTTCTGTATATTGTATTTTAATTTTATGGATAAAACTTTTTCTGCAGTTTCCCCAAATTAATATTAGTTAAATAATTTAAGATGCTATCATCTGTTGAAGTATCCTTGTAAAATGATTTTAATTTAAATATAACTGTTATCATTTAAATTTTTTCTTTATATTTCAGTTTATTTGCATATCTCAATGTTATTTCCCTTTTGTAATCATTTTTACCTTATCCATTTTCAAATATATTTAATTTATTTACATCTTATAATTTAAGAATCAATAACTTAAATTTAAAATATTATGCAATTTAATTTATTTTAAGATAAAAATTCTTTAAATATCAAAAATGCTGAATAATATTTTGTTTGTAAAAAATTTTTTTATTTTAATTAATATTCCAATCAACAACATTATGAAAAATATATTAAAATAGTTACTTAATTTAATACAAATTTATTTTTAAAATAAAATTTGTAGAAAAATACATTGTTGTAATTTCGAAAAATACAAAAAATTCTTTTGTGAAATATGAAAATTGTTTCTAATTTATTTTGTACATAAAATATTGTTATTTTGAAATTAAATTTTAAGCTAAAAAATATATATATAATAATAATAAAATTAGGTAGAAGGGAACAATACAATAAGTTGCATAATTTCATCTATTTATTGTTCATATAGCAAAATTTTTGCATTTCTGTTGTGAAAGTTTTCATCTTGTTAACCTTGAAAGTCATTGTAAATGTTGAAAGTTTCTTTTGAAATAGCATAAAATAACTTTTCTACAAATAAACTAAACTGAATTATAAATTTCTACATTGATAAATTCAATACGTTTACATAAATTTCTATTATTAAATTATAAGTTTCTACAAATAAAACAAATTTTAAAAATAATACCAAATATTTTTTGATATTATTTTTTAAAACATTTCTAAAATTTTTATATTTTTATTTTATACATATGTTACTGTGAATGACCGATATGTGGTGAATGACAACATTCTCCGGTGAATGTCAGCATTCACACAGTTGTTTCATGTATGTACAAAATATTTGCTAAATATCATTATTTCTCACTTACACTGGCAAATGTTGACATTCAGCATGCACTGATGGTGAACGTTGAATAAAAATATTTTTATTACGTTAAGACAAAAATGCAACTTTTTAATATGTCAAAATAGGAGAAATCTTAAGTAACAGCGCATGTAAATAAACTGTTGAACCTAAAACGAACAGTACATTCTTAATCAGAAAAGAAAAATAATACAATAAATTTACACATAAATTATGTCATTAACATTATACAATCTTATTTATTGCAACAACTTAAACTGTTATGACACTTTGAATTTCACAAGAGTCCCTTGCTTTTACAACTGCATTTATTCATGGAAAACTTTTCGCAATGACAGTGTGTATAGCCTTGCCCTCCACTTTTCGAATTAACTGCAGCTGCTTCTCTCAGTGATATTTCTTGAGAAGAAATCTCATCTATGGAAAGTAACTTTTCTTTACAAATTACAAACTGATTGCATGTATAAAGCTGCTTGAGGATACTTTTTTTGTTTTTCTAATTTATAAAAGTCTGAGTCTTCTATTCCAACAACAACCGCCAACACATTTTGGGCATCTGTATGGCCGAGGTCGACATTAGAGACTTGTATTCATACGGTATCACCAATTTAAGCAGGAGGAAATTTTCTTTTTG